AATACCTAGTGCATAAGTAATCACACATTAATAAAACAAGTTTGCAGGTTTGGTATACACATACTCATAATAAAGAAAAGATTCAGATTAAGTTAAGTGTAGATGCTAGTGAGAATCATATTGACTGGCAGCAGAATTCAAACAGGATGCGAGCAGGTCATTGCAAGAATTATGTAAGTAAGGCATGTTTAAGTGATAGAATCGCTACCAAAATCAAACACATAAAGAGAGGCTAAAATGCAATGGTTCTAAACATCAGTAACACATAGGCTAGGCAGACTTAAAGAGAACTTAATTAACTCAGGTCTAAGCATGTTTCAAACTACAAACGTAGTGGGATTTAGATTAGGAAGGCCTACATTGACGTAAGACAGTCAGAATTGCATACGAGAACATCCCTGAAACATATTAAACCACCATCTTTAGAAGTGAAAACATATACCAATGACAAGCAAATAGGAATGAAATGACAAATGTTCAGCAACTCACTAGTTAAGCGAAAAACAAGAAAGAATAAAGTCTACATTAGCAAGAACTAAGAATTTATGGCCTTGGCTTTCAGCCGGCCAGCAGAATATAGAACAAGAGTATGAGAGAACAAAGAGTAGTAAGTTCAGTTTTTAGCGAGTTTCTTAACGATTCAAGTCTCTTCAAAGGGGAATGGGGAGGGGTTTATATAGCAGTAGAAATCGAACACCCAAACAAGGAAAATTATCAATCAAACATGAGAAAGGAAAGAATCGTCACATGCAATGAAGAATCAGTAAGGAAAAAGAGAAATTTTAAAACCCTAATTTTAGGGAAAGTACACAAATCGGCAGATTAAAAAAATAGAAANATTTTTTTATGTTAATTGGAGCAACTTAAACATATTATAATTTATAGTTTAATTTTATGTAAATAATTAAAATAAATTAATTATAAACTGTGATCCACATATCATTCTCTATCCATGATTAAATGGATATAATAATAATTATTTATTTATCAAAAATTTAACTGACCATCGACATACAATTTTAAAATTGCAATATTGGCCCGTATAGGGGCCTTACCTTGTCTAAGTATTTAGAGAGAGAGTGAGAAATACCAACGATACCAAGCCGAAATAGTTTTTCTTCATAGAGAGAGGAGTGCGAAACGCACGGAGAGTTATATTTGACAAACCCAAACTGTTTCTATTTTAAAGCTTTTTTTCTTTTTATAGATCAACTTGGTTCAAGCTTTGCAATCAAACCGAGTAGGATATTGAGTTACACGTTTGGTATTTAAGATACATACACTAAGCAGTTTACAAAAAGTTTATATTATGAGTACAATTTAATTGATTATAACGTATATCACTCCTTTTTAAAAGGATTAATATATTATATACCCATCATTTTAGTTGTATGACACCATTAACTAAGCACGGAATTTTCTATAATATTTATAAAATATATAATTATAAATAATTTCATTAAAAATAAAATAATAATTTTAAAATAAATTATTTCTAAGTACAGAAATATGATATTTTTCTGGGACAACCTAAGCAGGGAAATATCACCACCTAAATTGGTATAGACGGAAGAAAAATTCAATAATTGTAATTTAATTTACTTAAACACATGCTTTTGTTAGCAAGATGTGACATTCTCCTCGAGTCCTCGTCATATTTATCCTCGGAATATCCGAATAAAGGGCGGCTTCTTTAATTCTTTCTCAACAGTAAAATTCAGTAGTAGTACCAATTATTTTTTCAACAGTATTACCAATTCAAAATTAGGAAAACTGTTAAAGCTAATGGTACATTAACAAGTTCAATTTGGAAATAATCCATTTTCAAAATTAGCAAAGATTTTCAAGCAAAATCCCTCAAACCGATCGTTCAAAATTTAATTCAAATTTAAAAAATCCGATCATCGGAAAAAAATCAAACTTTCCGACGAACCATAAACCCTAAGACGTAGCTGATGCAGAGGATAATATCAATTTCATCGGATTATTTGAATCGAATAATCCAGAATCTTCATAGCAGTTATTCGCCGCCAATATGGGCAACTGTAGTTGCTGGATTCTTCGTAATCCTTACTCTCACACTTTCTACGTATCTCATCTTCGAACACCTTTCAGTTTACAAAAATCCCGAGGTTATTTCTGTCTTTTTCCCGTTTTATTTCAGTTTCTGTTTCTATGTTAGTTTAATGTATCTTCTTCTTTTTTGGGGTTTGGTAATGGCAGGAACAAAAGTTTTTGATTGGAGTAATATTGATGGTGCCTTGTTATGCTGTTGAATCAGTGAGTTCCCTTTATTTTTTTTTTCTTTTGCTTTTTCCAGTTATCATATGACTTGGGATTGGCAGATAGAGAAAATCTTTGAGTTATTGTGCAAAATTATGCATTATTTGTCATGATCACTTGATAAGATCAATAATTCAATATCATATAATCTTATGACACTAAGTTAAATGCACAGCAAAGGCAGACCATTTTGTTGAAGATCAGCCCCAAGTGTCTGGCTTACCTTGACTTCTAGAGTTATTGTCATGAACCCTAAGAAGTTTGCCTGGTTGATTCTCTAATCTGGCTTATTTTTTCAGTTTGTGTCATTGGTAAATCCAGCGATTAGTGTTGACATCGGGATACTACGTGATTGCTATGAATCCTTTGCAATGTACTGCTTTGGGAGGTATCTTGTTGCATGTTTAGGTATGGATACATTCTATATTAAATTTGATTACTTTGTGCCTTCCATCTAATGTTCGGATTCAGGAAAGTAGACCAACTATCATTCCTGCCTAAAGAAAGAATGTATGTCCTTGTTTTGCAACTTGAGGAGATCTATTCATTGTACTTTTCTCATTCATCAGTAGATTTCTTCTCTTACACACATGCGCGCACTCACGTGTTTCTTGTTGCTATGGCAACTGAATTTGACTTCTTGATACAAAGGGCTGGCGTGCTTTATTTGCTAAGTGGTATTCTTAGATGCCCTGTACCGTGAAAATGCTAATTGAAGTTTGCAAAGCTTAAATTTTTCTCTGTTTCGTCTAACTAGTCATTTATGCCATCAGTCACCAGCAAAATGTATCTAAAACCTCTTTTATGAACTCGTTCAGTCATTTGTGTCTTTCTTCCTTTCTTTTCATGTTTTTTTCCCCCTTCCTTTTATTGGAATTAGGTGGGGAAAAGAGAACCATAGAATTTATGAAGAGGGAAGGACGCGCAGGTTCAAAGATGCCACTACTAGAGCATGGCTCTGAAAAGGGGATTGTTAAGCATCATTTTCCCATGAAATATATTTTCAAGCCATGGAAACTTGGTCAGTGGGTATACCAAGTTATCAAGTTCGGAATTTTCCAATATGTAAGAATGCTACCTGACTTAGATCCTTTATCCCTTTGGACCAACAAGCTGTACTCATCCCTTAACTAAACTATATCTAACACACAAATTTTGCAGGTGATAATCAAAGCATTTACTGCTACTTTGGCAGTGATTCTTGAAGCTTTTGATGTATATTGTGAAGGAGACTTCAAATGGAATTGTGGGTAAGAAACACTTGTTAGTTGATTAGCTCCCTCACTTTGATCTCTTCTTTTTGGTTTTAGTTGGATTTGGCCTTTTAACCATCCTGTCGATCAAATAGAGCTTCCTTCCTATGTTTTCTCTTTGGTTTTTCCTAGCAACATTTCTTTGCTACTTCTTTTGGGGAAAAGTCCTCCTTTTTACCCTGTGTTGCGCCATCCAGAATCAGTCATCTGAATGTGCTTTTTTACTGAACCTCAAGCTGTCTTGTCTTTATATGCATTCCTTTTATTTAAGACACCAACTGGATGGATCACAAGTCGGGGTGGAAGGCTATCCTATCCCTTTATCCTTCATGGATAGTGACTGCACAGGCATCAAAATTTGCAAATCTGGTCAGAGTTCAGTTTCTTATCATCTAATTATCATCTTCCTATAGTTGCAGAACTGGTTCCTGTATCAATATTCAATTTGTAGGTATAGAGCTGCATCTATTTGGTAGATACACCTATAAAGGGTTGTTTGTCTGGAAATATTTTGGCATTCAATATCATGTGATCTTGCTGATTCACCATGTAATTTATGAAATAATGGTCCAAGATATCTCATACATTGTACGCCTTGTCTTTGTAGGTATCCATATATGGCCGTGGTTTTAAATTTCAGTCAATCATGGGCATTGTATTGCTTAGTTCAATTTTATACTATTGCAAAGGATGAATTATCTCACATCAAGCCGCTGTACAAGTTTCTAACATTCAAGTCAATTGTTTTCTTAACTTGGTGGCAAGGCGTGGTGATAGCCCTGTGCTCTACACTTGGTTTCTTTAGAAGTCCAATAGCTCAAGCTTTACAGTTTAAGTCCAGTGTTCAAGATTTCATCATATGCATTGAGGTAATTTTTCTGGGATTGGGTATGTTTTTATTACTTCTAATACCAAAAGTTTCATTTGGGCTATCCGGATTTTTGCCATTGTTTATTGCTTCTGGTGAATTACGCACAAAGTTCCATGTTATGCTATTAAGGTATGGGCAAGAAGCTTGAAACATAAGCTTTCAGCATACATGATGGTTCTTGCATTTGCTCCGCCTGTTTTGCTACAACTGATGCATGCTTTTGTGCCAATTGATCTACGCGTATGACACATACTTACGTGGTATTGGGATTGATGCATATTAATGTTGAAAGCTGCTCTTATAAAATCTTCTTAAGACGTTCTACTACCTGTATAGTGCTCTTAAATTTGTTTATCCCAAGGTGTGAGGTTTCATATGGTTGAGTCTGGATTACTGCAGAACTGCGTTGTTTTTTATTTGGGGTCACATGCGTGTTTTTTCCCCTGCCCTCCCTACCAAGAAGAGAAAAGAGGAAAAACACTAAACCCTGCCAATTAGTTTTTATGTTTCTGAAGGTTTCTTCGGGGGTATGAGGGTCGAGGGATGGGGAATATCACTGATCAATATGGACACTAAGCTTCTATTTGTAATTTTGATGCTTGATATTCCTCCAAAATCTTGAAGGTTAACAGCTCTGTTATTCATCCAGTACAGATGGGCATTGCTTCTGTAGTTCACCTCTATGTCTTCCCTGCCAAGCCATACGAGCTGATGGGAGAGCGTTTTACTGGGGATGTTGCAGTTCTGGGAGATTACGTATCTGCTGACTTGCCAGTAGATCCTGACGAGGTTAGAGATAGTGAACGTCCCACCAAGTTACGTCTTCCTCAACCAGATAGTCTAGGAAAACTTGGCTAGCAAGAAATTGGGGTGAACTCAAGAAATTGATAGTCCCAATTAAAGGGTTGAATCTAGAGATAGTAAAACCCGACTTGAGCATCTATCAATTGTTTAGTGAATTACCCATTTGGACTTGAGAAATCCAAATTAGGCAAAACTACTCTATTACTGAGAGGTATTGAGTGGGTAATTGCGTGTTGATTGCTATATTACGCCCCGACCAACAAAACTCGCTCTAAAGTCCACTACCCATTAGGAA